GGTTTTGCGATAGTGAATCCCGACCATTCTCAATGCAAATATGGTATTCAATATTGGAGAGAAGCAACCTTTATAAAACAAAAAAGAGAACCATTATAACAACACGAGGGTTTGTAATTAAGCCCGTATTGGGCCTTCCTTCAGACATATTTTCATTCAGAAAAAATATGTTACAACTTACAACAATATCAGTGGAAGATCATCTTTAACTGGTTAAAAACTTAAGAAAGAAAGCGATGTTTTGGTTATGGTAAGAGAGTGAGATAGATGACTGATTGGAGTTAGGGACGAGCGATGTTGGGAACAACACTGCTGTGCTTCCTAAAAGGCTCGATGACTCGTAAAGGTCTCTCGTCACATTCGAGGATGATGTCAAGAGCACCGACGAGGAAGACANNATTTCCACTCTCTTCGGGTTTGCCTGAACCAGTCTCTCCAGNTCTTTCACCACCTCCACCATCATCGTTGACCCCATCTCCGGTGAGTCGTCTCTACACCTCNGTGCCAATGCCGCAAACTTCTCTACGCTTTTCATCGACCACAACTCTATTGTCTTGTCTATCATTGACAATATCTTTATCCCTCTGATCCGCGGTCTTCACCTCTCGTGGATGCAGCATCAAAACAGAATCAACACCAGGTAGTGGACTTAATTATTTAATTGAAATAATTTATCAATTCAAATCAATATAAACCGAAATTTTATACAATTAAAAGCAGNCATGGCTAAAGAGCTTNTTTCTCTCCAATTTATCAGACTACCACTTCAAAATTCTCACCATTTCCTAACACTTTCTCCTACTTTAACTCCCAGTCACTGGCCTAACAAAACCCAATCTTTCTCCGACGATCAACCGCCCATACTCAATCTCCGATCAGCTTTATACATCTCCCATGGCTGCGATAATCCATAATTCACAAATCAACCACATAAATATATTCTACGAATCTACCTATATAAATTACTTTGAAGCAATTTGAATTCCATTCAGTATTGCGGTTCGGTTCAACACCCCATTAGCTAGCGATTCCTTTCTTTCTCTTGTTACATCCGACGTCTCCTCCGGTAGATTAGTTCTCAGTTCTTTTCGAATTCGCCGCCGTCTTCGGAGTTTTCTCATCCAAATTAATCGTGCTTGTAGATCGCCCACCTCCAATCGCCGAAGCTCGAGTCCAGATCCAACTACTTCCGCTTACAAAAGCAACATCTACCGCAATCGAAGGGTTCAAAAGATGGCTTGTGTCGTGAGACACCAAACATATCATAGTAGCGGTCGATAACAACCGTGGTTCATCAGCCGCCATAAACGACGAGGAGATCTCAAGATGGAGAATATCTGATAAGCCAAATATATTATTTAGGGTATGAACGATTAAGGGTATTTCAGGAATAGTATTTAATTGTAGTGGCATTTTTGCAAAACATTTAAAAAAAATGACATTCTTGTAAAATGGCATGGAACATGTGACATTTTTTAAAAATTTTCAATAATATTTAATTTTAAAGATTTTCGTTTTATAT